ATGCCGCCGCAACATGATAAAATCAAAGTGAATACGCAGTCTTGTTCGGGTGGTGGTGGCGGCTCAGCCGTCCTCCTAGTCATTGCATATGCATGAGCAATGTTCATTCTCCCCTGGCCAAGATGGCTTCGGCCGTCCTCGCATGATAGTCTGCTCCAGGCTGGACTCAAATCATACGCAGTCCAGAAAGCGAGGAAGCATGTGACTTAGCCATTCAAGGAAATAGGAGTAAACGGCAGGTCGCTCAAAAATGTCGAATGAACAACAAACATGCGGGAGGTGTGCATTGTGGTCCGGCCTCTCAAAAATCGTTCTCCTTACTTCGATTAGACTTCATTCCTGTTGGGAATGCTAGGACGCGCTTAACGGACAACTAGCAGGCAGCTAGCATACAGATAACGAGCGCGATCACGGCAGGTTATCGATCATCCTACATGGATGAACGCATACAGGCAGTCAATCAATCAATAATTTAAAATTTGATCTGTGGGCAGTCGCTAAGTCACAAGCCAATCATGTCACTACCCACGCCAGGACGGAAGCTGATTGGCCCGATGGATCTACCTTTACACTCGTTCGTTACCCTAAATACATATGTTTTACCAGTTACACTATAAGACTTCTGCTTCTGCCCTCTTCTTGTCCTGTTCTTCCTTGCGTGGCTCGCACAAGACGTAATGAGGCGGTGAAATCTCGGCTTTGGTTGCCGTTACAACAGGGAATGCCTCCACCATTTCTACGATGAGTCGTCGCACAGAAAGGCTCCTGAGCGCGCGCACCGCGGCTATTGATTTCTCGTCAGATATGATTGGTCGAATTTCACTCTGTCACGCTCACATCAAACGGATCGATAAATATACGCGGATTCTCTGTGTCAGAATGAGTTGCTTTTTGCGAATACGACTTTCCACGTGGTCGGTTGCCTTCTCGTGGCTTTGCGTGCTGGAATAACGGTCGAGCAATATTACAGTTCCTATAAATTACAAGAACCGAGCGCGGGGATCATAACAATTCTCGAAGCCACTTTTAAAACAGTCACGCCTTCAGAAGTAATGATCATGAGAGAACAGCAGCTGGTTTTTGCTGAAAATGAGAAGGGTAAGCTTATGCGGATAAGCTCGTTCGCTCGCTCGCTGGCAGTCAT